CTTCTATGTTTCTATGACCAGAGGGCACAGTCTCAGAATAAAGGGGTGCAAATTTAAAACTGAGATGAGGTGAAATTTCTTTTCTCAAAATAAATGAGAATCTTTGGAAGTCCTTGCCATAGACAGCTGTGGGGGCAGTTCTTGCATATGAAGGCAGGAGGTTCTTCTGGTTTCATTTCCTTTTTGAGTTGATACAACTGAATTGCTTGCTAGACTATTTCAGAGTGCAGGAAAGAGTTAAGGGCACAATGCTGAATGTCTGGAGTTGGTTCATGGTCATCATTCCAGATTATTTTATTTAATTCAAATTCTACCATCTGCCTTGATGGAATTTGAATGCTGGTCCCTAGAATATTACCTCGCTCTCTAGATTACCTGTCCAGTAGCAATATCACTACCTCATCACTTACCCTCTGAATTCTCCATCTTTTGTAGCTACAGCATTTATATAGCTGGTTCAATTCATTTTCTGGTCAATGATCACCAACAGGATGTTTTTTATTTATTCATTAATGAGATTTGGGCATCACTGGCTTGGCCAGCATTCATTGCCCATCCCTAATTGCCCAATGCACAATTACATGTCAACTACATTGCTGTGGATCTGGAATCACTTGTAGGCCAGACCAGGTAAGGATGGCAGTTTCCTTTCCTAAATAACATTAGTGAACCAGACGGGTCTTTCCTGACAATTGGCAATGGTTTCATGGTCATCATTAGACTCTTAATTCCATATTTTTATTAAATTCAAATTCCGCCATCTGCTATGGCAGGATTTGGACCTGGGTTCCCAGAACATTACCTGGGTCTCTGAATTAAAAGTCCAATGATAATACCACATCACCTCTTCTATGTTGATACTGGGGGATTCGAAGACAGTAATGTCATTGAGCATCAGAGGTGATGGTTAGACTTGCTCTTATTAGAGACGGTCATTGTTTGTCACTGTATGGTGCAAATGTTAACTGCTACTTATTAGCCTAAGACTGGATGTTGCCCGTTTATTGTCATGGTCTGTTTCAATATCTGAGGTGTCGCTACTACAGTACACTTTGGCTGCCTTCCTTTGTGAGGGCAGACTTAACTCATGAGAATCATGCTAATCTTTAGCCTACATGAAGGTTTTCCAGTAATAATGGCTGCCATGGAGCCAAGTGGTCCCTTTAAATCCCTTAGATTGTATAAAATTAGTGGTTGTGGCATAACTGCCCAATCAATGAGCCCTGAATCATGTCCAGAAGAATCCAGTGGAAAGGTAGGTGCTTTGGCTTAAAATCACTGGATAAAACATCTCCAGCCCTCCACTGCTGTCACAGATCCCTCAACCACTCCTCTACCCCATACCCCAGAGTAACTGGTTTCTCATGCCCTCCCCGGTTGTCAGAGATTCCTCACCACCTTTGTCCCAGTGCCAGTCTCAGAATCACAGAATTAATTTGATGCAGGAGACTAATCAACTCATCGTGTTTGCACTGACTCTCCCCTTTCTGAGGATTTTGGCTCAGTGCCTCTTCCTCAAAAGTCTTCACCCCACTTCTATTTAAGTAATCATTTTATTCATCCAGTGCACTCTAGAACACTTCAATTGAACCTGCATCCACCACACTTCCAAACAGTGCACTCCAAACCAAACGATTCACTGTATGAAAGAGTGTTTCACCACCTTACATTTGCTTCTTTTGCAAAATACTTTAAAATTGTGCACTCTAATTCTTTATCCCTTTATGAATGGAAACAGTTTCTCCTTATCTACAATCCCTATCAATTAGGGATTAGCCCTAAATGTTGGCCTAGTCAACAACACCCATTCTTGTGAAAGAATAAAAAGAAATCTCTTCTGCACTCTCTCCAGTGCATTCAGATCCTTCTTAAAGTGTGCTGTCCACAATACTCTAGCTGTGTCTAACTAGTGTCTTATATAGGTTCATCGTAACCTCCCTGTATTCTAGGATGGTATTAATGAGGCCTGAGGATGTGAAAAGCACCTGGTAAATGTAAATTCTTCTCTTTCTTTCCAATTCCTAAATAGAAACACGAATTGAATTTAAGCAATTAACTAATTTTTATAGATTGACTTTATTAATGGAGCAGTTGGTGTTACTTTGCTATCTAAAAGCTTTAATCAAGTGTGCTAACTCTATTATAATTAATTTCAGCCCTTCTGTTGGTATTATAATTCAGTTTGGGTTCTTAGTTATGCCATTTTCTCTTCAGGTATTATTTTAATTTCTTGTGTTTTTTTCTATTTTTGTTATCTTTTCTTAACTAAAATTTCAGAATTGACTAAGTTATTTTCTGAAGATTATTCTGATGCTCTGTTATCTGTTATTGGGGAGTGAAAACAATCAATTTCATTTTTCTGTAAAACCTACCTAAGTATCTTTGAATTTGCTCTTTGCTATTTACAAATCGGATCTGTGTTAACACTGATATCAGACACGGCATAGTGGGTAGTACATTTATTTCTGAGATGGTATATTGTGTACTTATAAAGAGTTCAGCACAAAATTCTAGGCAGAAACCTAATGCAGTACTAAGGAAGTGCTGCACTGACAAGTATATGGTCTTTTGGATGAAATGTTCTTTTGCTGTCTTAGTTGGATTTAAAAAGATTCAGTAACATAATTTTGAATAGGGTGGCAGGGTGGGTGCTGAGGTGGTTACCTCTAAAATCCAGACCAATATTTCTTCTTCAATAAATATTACTAAACAACATTGTTTGATCTTCAGCACATTGATGCTCTAGGGTCTTCTTGTGCACAAATTGGTTGCTGTGTTTTCTACATTGCAACAGCCACTACATTTCAGAAGTTACTACTTTGAGACAGCCTGTGGTTGTGAAAGGTGCTATATAAATGAAAGATGTAAAGATTATCGTGTTTTTGTGGGGAGTAAAAGAGTTGGAAAAAGGTAATTATTTGCATCAAACGTATTTTGATTTTGGAAAACAAAATCAATGATAGATTTTAACACCATTGTCTCCCATAGGATAGGATTAAGTTTTTAGGTTAATGTTGTCTTCAGACTAAAATATAATTCTATTATTTATGATACTATCTGTTGTCTTTTCTGTCCAGTTGACATTTTTAGGACAAATTCTGAAGGATACTGCAGTTATTGCACGAGTGAAGAATGGGTATTTATGGACTAATTTAACTGTTGGATTGTGACCTTTTCTATTCATGGAAATGATCCACTGACATTAATATCTAGTATTCACATTTGTACATTTGAAAATTGATTTCTAGCTAATCTCTGTAATGATTTCAAATGTTTAATTGCAACCTGTGTGCTGTGTTCCATCAATGATGCCGATCGACAGTACGTTTTTTGTTTGGGATTAAGTTTCAATTTACCCAGGATCACTGTGGCATGACTGAAATTTATTTCTAGAAAATTATCAATTTTTGAAATGTGGACACTTTTTTTTAAAAAAAGGGATTAAAAGCCTGCTATTATCAAAGTTGGATTTATAATTTCGAACTTCTCGTCAACAGTTTTCTAGTCATTTTCAGGGTGCTTCATTACAACTTGTAAATTTTCCTGTCCTGAATCGATTTTGTCTTTCCTCATTTATCCGGACCCCACTGTCCTTTGTCTCCGTGGCAGGGACTGACATAATAGGTTTGGGTGATATAGGGGACCTAACCTTGTACACCCGTAAAATGTTACCTGTTCATTGCCAAAAGAAGCCGCCAACCACAACTAACACCGCCAGTGTGTCAGTAAATGCAAACAAAATGACTGTACTCGGCCGTGTAATATTTGCACTGTTGACTTTAGAATGTTTTTTGCATAGGGTCGTGATGATATAAAGTTTATTTCAGAAACAAAGTTGCTGGAAAAGCTCAGCAGGTCTGGCAGCATCTGTGATCGAAAAAAAAGTTAACGGTGACTCTTCCTCAGAACTTCTGTTTCTCGCCCCGCCGTTTACTTCGGGCTATTTTCTGAGTTCAGACCTATTTAGATGCGAACAGAACGTGCCCTGCGTGATTTCAGAACTGTAATGAGGAAGGGTCACCGGACCCGAAACGTTAACTTGTTTTTTTTTCCTTCACAGATGCTGCCAGACCTGCTGAACTTTTCCAGCAACTTTGTTCTTGTTGCTGATTTAAGCATCCGCAGTTCTTTCGGTTTTTATTAAGTTTATTTCAGAGTCGGCCTGGAAGGTATGCCCCGTGAAAGTTTGCTATTTAAAAAAAAAATTGGTGCATTTTCCAGAAGTGGTCGTGCGAAAAAAAGAAAAAGCAAGGTCTAAAATCTACTGTAATTAAGTGCAATGTACGGCTTGCGGGGGCATTGCCATTCAGTGGTAGAGACTGACATAACAGGTTTTGGTGATATAGGAGACGCTAACCTTTTACACCCTGTAAAACGTTACCTGTTCATTGCAAGAAGAAACCAAGTTTCACCAGCGAATAAAGAAGCAGGAAGCAAAATCAGTCACTGCCAACCTGTTGAGTCTGACCTGCCCTGAAATCACGGAGGGCACGTTCTGTTCGCATCTAAATAGTCTGAACTCAGAAAATAGCCCGAAGTAAACGGCGGGGGGAGAAACAGAAGTTCGAAAGTGAATCTTCCAAAAAAAATAAACCTGTGTCTGCTCCAAACTGGCATTCAGACGCGGTTAGGGGGTAAGAACTCCTGTATCTGTGGCCTCCCCCGGCTATGTTTTTGTACATTACCCACTGGCACTGACCTGCTCACCCAGCGTCCACCTTCCAGCCTGCAGCAGGCCTCGTTACCACGGAGACCGCTACCCCGGTCATTACCAAGCAGGAAGGGCGGGTGTGCAACGCTAGTGGGACACCAACACCCTCCCGGCACACTGCCAAATGATACGAACCATCATATGCGGTGCAACTAATACTTCGACAAAATCATGGTGGTTTAGCGCGGGGGCGAGCGAGGTGCTTGGAGCCGCAAGTGAAATATCCGCACCCTTACCCACCTTCACCACCCCCCCCTCCATTAGCGCAGTGGAGTAGTCCATATTTAAATGATAGCAGGAGAGGCAGTGCTCAAACCTGAGCCACTCTGCTCAGTTTAGAGAGAAAGGAGAAAATATTAATTCAGAATAGAGCACTAACTCAGCCGAGAGAGGGGGCTGAAAAAATAAGTATTAACTCAGGATAGAAGACAGCATTAATTCGGTACAGAGCATTAACTCTGCACAAAGTTTAGGAGCGAGCATAAAGTCAGCATAGAGAGCTGGGGGAGAAAAGAAAGTAAATCAGCGCAGAGTAAAGGAAAGAGCACAGCAGAGAGCACAGACTCCGCACAGGAGGGAGTATTAATTCAGCATAGAACAACAAAAATTGCAGGAAAGGTTTGAGAGGAGGGTCGAGTACAGGTCAGTACAACACAGCACTTGGTCTGCGCTCCCCGCTTTGCCCAACTCGCAAATATCTCGACGTTTGTCGATCCTGATACACGGCGGATCACTGTAAGTATTTCACAGATCTGTAGTAAAGTCATTCGTGCACTAATACACTAATACAAACTAATACGTGCAATAAAAGCGAACGGGAAGTTCCTACTTATATTGATGCTTCCAAAGAATAGGCAGGGTGGAAGCATTTACTCTTCTGTAAAACTTGCATTTTACTTTGAAAGTAAATGCACGATCTTAATGTAAAGTATCGTGTTAAGTCGATGTTGCGAAAGTTTAATTCTTACATACAAGTGACTGCATAAAAAGTGGATAAACTTGCTTGAGATTTGATTTGTCTCTGGTGTAGATATTCCCTGAGTTCTCCTGGATGTTCTTATTCAATCTGTTCAGATGTGTTATGACCAACCTTTGGAGAAGGTGGGACTTGAACCTGGGTCTTCTGGCCCAGAGGTAAGGATATTACCACAGCATCAATAGCCTTACTGTTAGTTCCCTAGGCATTTTTTTAGTCGACCTATTCAGAGATGTTATGACAAACCACTGGAGTAGATGCTCTGGTTTCCTCCCACAGTCCAAAGATATGCAGGTTAGGTGGATTGGCCATGCTAAATTGCCCATAGTGTCTGGGGATATGTTGGAGGGGGGGTGTGGTTAGCCATAGGAAATGCAGGGTTGCAGGGATAGGGTTGGTGGGTGGGTGAATCTGGGCGGTTAGGGTTAGGAAAGTCAGTATGGACTTGTTGGGCCGAATGGCCTGTTTCCACACTGTAAGGAGTCTATCAGTCTATCGGGTGGGACTTGAACCTGGGCCTCCTGGCTCAGAGGTAGGAATGAGAGTCCTGGATCACAAGAAACCTCTCAACTTCTTCTATTCTTTCCCTTCCTCTGTCAGCAAATTTGTATGATTTCCCTTTTGTGAATTCATTCTTACTGTGCTGGATTTTATTATGTATTTCTAAATGCTCTGCTATTCCATCCTTTACAATTTAACATCTGTTAACATTTCCAAAAGACAGATTTTAAGCCAACTGGCCTATAGTTATCTGATTTTTGTCTTCCTCCCTTTTTGAGTAAATGTGTTACATTGGCAGTTTTCCAATTCTGCGGAACTTTTCCCAAATCTAAAGATTCTTGGAAGATTACCACTAGTTATCTCTGTAGTGACATTTCTTTAAAATCCTAGGATGCAATCCATTGAGTCCAGGGGACCTATCAGCCTTTAGCTCGATTAATTTCCCTAGTACTTTTTCTGTATTGATAGTTATTGAGTTCATTTCCTCTCCCAAACATCCCCCCCTCCCCAACAAACTTTAGCCCCTAGATTTTCAAAATATTTTTAGAATGCTATTAATGCGCTGTATTTTGGTGCAACCTCTCTGCCATTTCCCTGTTCCATATTATTCTTTCCCCTGTCTTGTTCTGTAAGGGGCCTATGTTCACTTTGACCTGTCACTCTTCCCTTTTATAAATGTAAAGAAGCTCTTGTCTGTTTTTATATTACTTGTTAGTTTTGCCCTTAGTTTGTTTTCTCCCTGTTCAATATGTTTTTGTTACCAAAATTTTCCCAATGCTCAGTTTTAGCAGTAATCTTTGACACATTGTATGTTTATTCTTTTAATTTGATACTAGTTTTAACTTTCATGGTTGACCATGATTGGTTTATCATCCTCCTAGAATTCTCCTTCCTCGCTTTGCTGTGAGTTATTAACTATTTTCTTCAACATTTGCCTTTGTTACTCAACCATCTTTTCTGCTAAACTCCTTTTCACAGTCCACTCCAGCCTATGTAATCACCCTTCTTTAAGTTTAGCACAGTTGTTTTCAATCCAAGTTTGTCTCTCTCAAATTGAATGTTAAATTCTACTTTGTCATGGTTACTGTTCTCTAGGAGCTCTCTTACTGATATTTATTCCACATTAACAGATCCAAAATAGCTTGCCCCCTGGTTGGATCCAAAACTGCCATGAATACACTGATTCTTCCTTGTGCCTACTTTTTTCATTTTGATTTCCCAATGTGCATGAAGTTTAAAGTCACCATGGTTACTGTACTTTTTTTTTGAACACACCCTCATGATCTCTTGATTTATTCTGTCCTACAGAATGGCTACTGTAAGGGAAGCTTGTACAGTCCCTACCAGGGCCGCCTTACTCATTTTATTTGGATTTTACGGAATTTGATCATAGATTATTTCTTGCCATCATTTCTGTTCCATCTTGTACTAACAAAGCTACTCCACCACCTTCCCTTCATTCCTATCCTTTCAAAAAGTCACATACCCCTGAATAGTTTGTATTCAGCTTTGATCTCCCTTTAACCATGCCTCCATAATTGTAATAATCTCTATTTGTGCTATTAATTCATTTATTTTGTTCCCAATAACACGTAGATTTAAATAAAAAGGCATCAGCTTTACCTTTTTATTAATTTTCCCCATCTCTTTTCCCTTTTGTTAATGTTTGTACAGACTTTACCTTCCTGTCCCAGGTCCAAATATCAAAATAGTTGCCCTGCAATTCTGCCATTTCTTTTTTTTGTATGCTCCCATCCTGAATCTTCTTACACACCACACACACACGCACGCACGCACATTTAGAGTCTCTCTATACCGCAGGTTACTCAATTCACCAGGACACTCATCCCAGCAAGATTCAAGTGAAGGCTATCTGACTGAAACACCTCCCCCTGTCCCAATACATATGCCAGTATTGAATCCATTTCTCCGTCATCAAGCTTTAAGCCATGCATTTAATTCTCTTACTTTATTTAACATGAGCTAGTTTGCTGTCATAATTCTGAGATTATTAGCTTGGAGCTCCTAAGTGAACATCCTTTCCAGTCCTATCAATATTGTTGAACCAACATGGTCAATGACAATCAAATCTCTCCTTCCCATACCAATTTCCTCTTCAGCCCTGAAGAGATGTCATTAACCCTAGCACCAGACAAAAATCACAGCCTTTGGGATTCACTCTCTCAGCTACAGAGAACAATATCTACTATGAATTGTTTGAGCGAAAACTTAGCAGATAGCATATAATGTGGGGAATGTTGGTGATCTCATTGAAATTCGATGGGCTAAATGGCCTACATCTGCTCTTGTGTCTATTTCCTCCCACCACGTGAATGATTTCCTGTACCATGGTGTCATGGTCAGTTCGCTCATTCTGTCTGTGGTCCCCAGTCTTTCCCACACAGCTCTCAAGAACTTCATAACTGTTTGTCAATTGTAAGAACAGAGGCTTCATTAGAGATGCCATTTGAGATCCATACCTGGCTCACCTACAATTGCACCTTGCTGTCCTTGGTCACAATTAACTTTAATGTCTTTAATGTAAAACTTTAATGTAACTTTAAGTGACACAAACCTGGTGATGACCATCTCTAACAAGAGAGATCCTAACTTTGACCCAAGAACAAAGAACAGTACAGCACAGTAACAGGCCCTTCGGCCTTCCAAGCCTGCACCGACATGTTTTGCCTTTCCATACAAAAAACTGTCTTCGCTTACAGGATCCATACTCTTCTATTCCCTTCCTATTCATGTACTCGTCCAGGTGCTTCTTGAATCCTGCTATTGTATTTGCTTCTGCCACTCCTCTCGCAGCGCGTTCCAGGCACTCACCACCTTCTGCATTAATTCATTGCCTCCAGACTCTGCCCCATTTTCATGGCTGGCCTTCAATCCTTAATGCTCCATTAGCTTCAGTTCATCCCAATTCTTTAGTGGCTATATCCTGCCTTGCACTACCTTGTTTCCGCACTACATTTGCAACTGCTGCCTATGATTGAGTTAGTCTTCTGAAACTGCAATTTTAAATTCTTTCATAGTCTTTTCCCATCCTAGCTGTCTGCTGTCTCTGTTTCTTTGACTTAGAAAATATGTAAAATAGTTAAATATTGGCTAGTTAATGATGGTGATGTAATGGAAAAGCTGCCACTAAAAGCTTTATTGTGACCTCACAGACAAAGTGGTGTTTTATGGGAAATAATTTTTAAATAGATATTTAACAAAACCAAAACAGGTTTTATGTATTGAACACCATGCATTAAAGAAAATATAAACAGAATGAGGACACAGTGAAAATAATTAAGGCACAACATATTTTCAGTTTCAGTAGCATCTTTTCAGTAGGCTCCAGAAGCTTCAATGAAAGCTAATGTGTTACGTCTTTTAGTAGCAGCTTCTGAGAAAACATGTACATCTTGCAATATAAATTGAAGATTATTGGGTAAACTGATAATTTTCCTGACAATTCATACCAGGTAGGAAACTTGTGTATTGTCAAGTTTTATCAATAAACAGTTCAGTGAAGAACTTGTAAAATGGTTACAGCATGGAAAGTGGCCATTCAGTTTGTCATATCTGTGCTGGCTGTCTGCAGAATCAATGCAGCTAGTCCCCCACCCCTGCCTTTTTCCCATAGTCCTGCAATTATTTTCACTTCAGATAATTATCCAATACCCTTAAAACCGCAATTGTATTACCTCCATTTCACACTCAAGCGATGGACTCCAAAACCTTTCTTCGGTTCTGTGTGAAATGGCTTTTTCTGATGATTTGTTTCTGTCTTTGATATTATCCTTAAATCTATGTGCCTTTTGGTTTTCAACCTTTTGGCCAGTAGAAAATCTCTGTCTATCTACTCTGAGCAAATTCCTCATGATAATGAAAGTGATAGGAAATAGCATAAATCAGGAAATTAGATGGATGTGTAGCTAAGGCATTAGAGTAACCATGAGTGACTTCAATCTACATATTGTCTGAGTAAATCCAATGAACACCAATGCTGTGGAGGAATAATCCCTTTAGTGCGTTTGAGATGGTTTTTCTGGATCAATGTTTTAGATCAAGTATCATATAATGATAAAAGGCTAAATTAATAATCTTGTGTAAAAGAACCTTCAAGGAATAGTGGCTATGGTATGTAATTGGCTTTGAAAAACTTCTAGTTCAGTCTGAAACTAAAGTCTTTAATCTAAACCAGGGCAACAATGAAGGTATGTGGAAAAAGTTAGCTGTGGTGGATGGAAAAATATACTAAAAAAGATTGATAAATAGATAATGGCTAGTATTTAAAGAATTAATGCTTTGTTTTTAAAAATCATATATTGCTTTTAAGGCAAAAATACCCAACAGGAAAAATGAGAGAGCCACGGATAACAAGGGAAGTTAAAGGTAATATTGGATCAAAGGAAGAGTCTTATAAAGTTGCCAAATAAATTTGTAAGTTTGATGATTGGGAGAATTTTAGAATTAAGCAAAGGGAGAACCAAGAAATTGATTGAGAGAGAGAATAGAACATGAAGATAAAAATAGCAAGAAACAACAAAAAAAATTTATAAAAGTTCCTATAGGTATGTAAAAAAAAAATTAGCAAACACAAATAGAGAAGGCAGGGGTAGGAAAATTTATAATATGACACTGTGAAATAGTGGAGCAACTAAATAAGTACTTTGTGTCTGTCTTCACAGTGGAAGACACAAGACATTTTATAGATTTTTGAAATATCAGGGAGTTGTCAGATATACTGAGCTGGCACAAAAGAGCAGTTGAGACCATAGGCAAATCAGTATTGATCTTGTTATGTGGCAAGACTTGAGAGGCCAAATGGCTTAATCCTGTTCCTATTTCTTCTGTTCTTATAATGTTCTCTCTAATGCAGTCACATCATTCCTATAATGTTGTGACCAGAACTGCACACAGTCCTCCAGTTGAGCCTAAGCTGTGTGTTATACAGTTCCAGCATAACCTTGTTGGTCTTGTATTCTAATTAATTTAATCAACTTGTTAAAACACATTATGACACACTTCTGAGGCAGCTGGGACTTGAATATGGACCTTCTGGCCCAGAGGCCGGAAACTACCACAACCACATTCTTGCACTATCACCATATCTGTAAGTATGTTTGCCTTTATCACAAGAGAATTTGAGTAAAGGAGCAAAGAAGACTTGCTTCAATTGTGCACAATAATCGTTAGACCACATTTGGAGTATTGTGTACAGTTCTGGTCATCCTTACTTATGGAAGGGTATACTTGCTGTTTAAGAATTGAAGCAAAGGTTCACCAGACTGATTCTCAACCTTCTGCGTGAAGGAAGAAATCTTTGGAATTCTCTGCCCTAGAGTGCTGTTGAAGCTCAGTCATTAAATTTAAGTTAAAGACAGAGATTGATAGATTTCTGCTTACTTATGATATCAAGGGATATGGGGATAGCGCAAGAATGTGGCATTGAGGTAATTGATCAACTATGATATAGAATGGTGGAGCAGGCTCGAGGACTGAATGGCTTATTCATCCTGTGTTCCCGAAACTTCTTTCAAGTCTTTTTTCAACCTTCAACTAAATAGTGGATGGAGAGTTCAATTAAAGTGAAATTAAAAAAAAACAAAAGTGCAGAGGTACAGGGTAGTGAAGAAATGAATCAGTGTGTAACAGAGTCAGTTGAAAATATGTACAGAAGAATAGAAATTAGAGTAAGAGAGTGATAATGTGGAAAAAGTCAAAGGTATTTTATCTGAATGCGCACAGCATTTGTAACAAGATAGAGGTGTAGACAGCACAAATATAAATAAAGGAAGATGATTTCATAGCTATTATGGAGACATAGTTACAGGGTGATCAAGACTGGGAACTCAAGGGCATTCAACATTCCAGAAGAATAAGTGAAAAGGAAAAGGATTTTAGGTAGCTTTGTTACTAAAGGAAGGTATCAATGATGCGGTGAATCGTGATATAAGTACAGTAGATTATGATGTGGAATCAGTTTAGGTAGAAATGGGGAATGACAAAGGGAAGAATTCATGGGTGGGAATTGTTTATAGGCTCCAAAAGAGCTGCCTCTTCATACGACGAAGTATAAATTGGGAAATAAAGGAGGCGTGTAAAAAGGGCACTACAGTTTGTCATGGATGGTTTTAATATGCATGTTGAGTGGACAAATCAGATGGGCAGGAGTGACATGAAAGACATTTATAGAGCACATCAAGGATTGCTTCTTAGAGCAGTATGTTGCAGAACCCACTCTGGAACGGGCTATTTTAGATCAACTAATGTGTAATGATGTAGGATTAATAAGCGATTGCATAGTTAATGATCCTATAGGGGATAGTGATCATAACATAATAAAATTTCCAATTCACTTTGAGGGAGGGAGACCAACTCAAGTCTTGAACCACTTCAATAAGGACAATTTACAGAGGTAGGAAGAAAGAGTTGTCTAAAGCAGGCTGGGAATATAGACAAAGGGAAAAGTCAGTAGGTGAGCAGTGGTGGACATTTTAAGCAGATATTTCATTAGGCTGAACAAAAAAAATTATTCCAGTCAAAATGAAGAATTTGAAAGGGACGTTGATCAAATCGGTCAATGGGCTGTAAAATGGGAAATGGAATTCAATCTGGATAAATGTGAGGCATTGCATTTTGGTACAACAAACAAAGGTAGGGCTTATACAATTAATGGTAGGGTCTTGGGTAGTGTTGTACAACAGAGGGATCTAGAGTTTCAGGTACATAACTCTGTGTCACATATAAACAGAGTGTTTAAAAAGGCATTTGGCACACCTGCCTTCATTGCTCAGTCCTTTGAGAAAAGGAGTTGGGAAGTGATGCTGAGGTTGTACAGGATATTGGTGCGGCCTCCTCTGGAATACTGTGTCCAGTTCTGGTCACCCAATTGTAGGAAGGATATTATTAAGCTGGAGAGAGTTCAGAAGAGATTTACCAGGATGTTGCCAGGTTTGGAATGTGAGAGTTGTAAAGAAAGGCTGGATAAGCTGGGACTTCTTTCATGGGAGCGTAGGAGGTTGAGAGATGACCTTATAGAAGTTTATAAAATAATGAGAGGTCTAGATAGAGTTAATGGTAGTTGCCTTTTTCCTAGGATGGGGGATTTCAAGACTAGGGGGCATATTTTTAAGGTGAGAGGAGAGAGATTTAAAAAAGACATGACGGGCAATTTTTTTTACACAGGCAGTTGTTTGTGTGTGGAATGAATTTCATGAGGAAGTGGTGGATGTGGTACAATTACAATGTTTAAAAGACATTTGGATAAGTACATGAATAGGAAAGGTTTGGAGGGATATGGGCTAGGAGCAGGCAGGTGGAACTAGTTTAGTTTAGGATTATGTTCAGTATGTACTGGTTGGACCATAACGTCTGTTTCTGTACTGTATGACTCTATGAGAAAAAGGATGAGCCAAAGGCGATCAAGGAGAGTATCCAATGAGAAAATAAGGTGTACAAAGTGGCAAAAACAAGTGGTAGAGCAGAGGATTAGGAATTTCTTTAGAAACCAACAACAGATGACTAAAAACCTCACAAGGCGGGAGGAAATTGATTATCAAAGCAAATTGTAAGGAATATAATTAGCCAAGAAATAGCAAGGACGTCTGAGTATGTAAAAAGAAAGTAACTCAAGTAAGTATGATACTTCGACAAAACTAATGGGACTGCAGGCAAACACCAGGACCTGGTGCCTGCATCTAAGGGTTTTAAAGGAAGTGGCTGTAGAGATAGTTAAAAATATTCCAGAACTCATTGGATTCCACAACGTTGCAGTGGATTGGAAAATCACTAATCTAAAACCTCTCCTCAAGAAGGGAGGAATACATAAAGCAGCAAACTATAGGCAAGTTAGCCTAACATCTGTCATTGCTTGAGTCTATTATTAGGGGAGCAACATTTAACAAAATTTAACATAATCAAACATGGTTTTGTGAAAGGCAAGTTATGTTGACAAATTTGCTAGATATCTTTGAGGATATAACAAAGCAGAGTTGATTAAAACGAACCAGTAGAAGTAGCCTATTTGTATTTTCAGAAGGCATTCGATAAAGTGCCACATAAAAGGTTATTGGGCAAGTTAGGAACTAACAGTATGAGGGTGTAATGTTTAGAATGGATTGTGGATTGTTTACCTTACAGAAGAAAGTCGGAAATAATGTGTCTTTTTCAAGATGGAAAGATTTAACTAGCGTAGTACCACAGGATCAGTCCTATGGTCTCAATTATTTACTATCTACTTTCATGATATGGAGGGGGTGGCAGAGTTTAATGTATCTAAAATTTCACGTGATGCAAAATTAAGAAGGAGAGCAAGTTGTGAAGAAAACACAACAAATGTATAAGGGGACATAGACAAGTTGAGTGATTGGAAAAAAACATTGGCAGATGGAGTTTAATATAGGAAAGTGTGGGGTCATAAACTTTGATCAACTTCCACTTGCATTGGTATTCTTGTGAAATGTCCTGATGAGTGTTCCTCTCTCGCTCCAAATTGAGAGCAGTGCTTTCATCCTCTGGGACTACGGTGACTTTACATTTACTATGTGAAATTTTTAAAAAAGTAGTATTTTCATGTCTGAGTTACTCAGATTAGTATGGTAGTTATGTTTCAGTACTTTTAGTTTCGATTCAGGTAATTTGTAATCAACTTGTGTGATTTTACATTGTAATCTCTGCAGGGAAACTGGAACTTGTGTGAATGCATCAGTCTATCATCCAATTAAAAGGGAGTCCAGAAATGCCACAAGTGAAATGTGAAACAAGTTCTTTAAGTGAAGTTACATCTGAGATCTCAAATCTTGATGAATTGACTATCTCACGGAAGACACGCACCGATGAGAAAGATCTTGCTTTACGTTGTGAAAAGACTGGCTACCCTGACTATGTCTACAAGGTTTCAGCTGACATATTTCAGAGCATACATGTTGAAAAACCTCCCTCCAGAAGGCTTGTAAACTATGAAAAAGATCCAGAAATGACCATCCCAGAAATCAAAGACGAGAAGTTCCAACGCTGGGTGTATGAGTTAGCCTTCAGTGCCCTGAAATGTAAGTAAAACAAGTGAGTAGATTCTTTGAAAACAAAAGGGTCATAAGTACCAGAAAATACATGGGTAGGAAGTAAAAATTAAGGGAAATAAAATTAAGAGAAATGGGAAAATAAATTCAAAGAAAGACGTTCTCAATCTGTAGGAGAACATAGGTTCAGCTGGTGCAATTTTGAGTATGTTATTTAATGTTTGCTATATTTTATCATAAATACAATATGTGTAATAGTGTAATGAGAATGGAATGACTGGTAATTATTTGTATGAGGACGCTTGGAGGTGAGTGACCATAATATGACAGAATTCTTCATCAAGGTGGAGATGACGTAGGTGATTCTGAGACTAGTGTCCTGAATTGAAAAAGAGGAAACTACAATGGTATGAGGTATGAGTTGGATAAATAGATTGGGGAACATTACTTAAAGGGATGAAAATGGAAAGGCAATTGCAAACGTTCCAAGAGTGACCTGAACTAAAACAATTATTCATTCCTGTCTAGCACAAAAGTAAAACGGGAAAGGTAGCTGTACCATGGCTTATATTGGTGGGGGAATATTAGAGATAGTATTAATACTAAGAGACATGCAAATTGGCCAGCAAAAAACAACAGACCTGAGGACTATTAGATTCTAAGGAAGAGGCATATAAATTGTCCAGAAGAAAAACAACAGACCCTGAGGAGTGGGAGCATTTTGGAATTCATCTAATGATAGTCCCAAGGTAGAAGCAGGTCGTGAAAAGGTTTGTTCTTCGCTTATCCATTGTATTCTTAGTTGCAACTGAGCCTTTAACTTTTTATTAATTGTTTGTGTTGATTACTTTGTTTTAGTACAAAAAGAGTATTTCCTGGCATCAGTCTTAAACTTGCCTTTTAATAACGTGTGTTGATGTATGTTTGCCTTATTAATCTAATTGTATAGAAACGATAAATTAAAAGCACTATGTACTCAATTGTATATCTTTTAAGGCTACCTACTAAAAACCATCTGTTCAAGTTAGAAAATCCCAGTAATCTGTCTTCATTGTGCAGTTTTGTTGTTGAGTTTTTCACTTTGGTCTTCATTGAACAATCTCTGAAATTTGAATATCCTTGTTTCTTAGGGACTATAACCAAATGTACTACAGCATGTGTAGTGGATAGCACTGTTCAATTTAACCATAAATGCTAATTTGCACTCTGAATTGATTATACAGTGTAACATTTGTTTGCTGCTCCATAATAATTGGAGATGTTGACTTACAAATGTGCTAGAATCCTGAGGTGACCTATTGTTCAGTCTATTTCAAGAACTGCTTACGCAGCATTTTTTAGCTTCCTATGTACTTTTTACATTCTTATTAAATTTCATTTGCCAATACTCTAATCCACTTGTGTATCTACACTTTGTCACATTTACCATTTTTATGGGGTGAGTTTTAGGAAAATTTGACTAAGCGTCAATTTCAATCAGTTTCATGTAGGGTTTCTTTCTGTGTGCTCTTTTGAGATTTTTCATGCAATCCTCTGCAGATCCCCCCATTATGCATACACATCTTCTGTATGGCACCATGCTGTTGCTATTTGCATTCACCAGCTGCAAAAGTACTCACAGCTGCCAGGACTTTCTGAAATTCCTGCTGTTAGCACCATATTTCAAGCAGCCTGCCATAAAAGTACTCTCGCTATTTCTTTCTGTGAGGGTAACTGAAAAAAACATAGCTTCAAAGGGTTCATAGCTGGCATGGATGAAACTTCATAGGAAACAGAAGATCATGTTTGTAAATGTATTGACCGACTGTAATTGTAACTGCAGCTATGAAAGTCAATCTACACAGGCTACCCATCCTTAGGACTATACCACTGACTTAGGGAGTGTGGTGTTTCCATAATGCCCAATGTAATGTAACATCTTGTTGTTGTTGAATGTGGGTGCATCACAAGATAGATAATGCCTTCAACTAGTTGAACATATTAATTTTAAAAAATTGAAAGTTTTATTGTTTAACCAGAAAAGCAAGAGAAAAACAAAGTAAAATAAGCTATATTTGAATAAACCAGCTGCTTGCCTTTCAAGCAATAACTAATTTACAGTCAATGAATGATAATTGCACCCAAAACAGCTCTCTTGGAAACAGATGTCAAAGACTTCCTGTTTGCCATGCTGTGCCCAGCATTGGACGGCTCTATTATGCTGAAAGTGATGTTTCACCTTCTCAGTAAGCTCTGCTGCCTTTCACCCAGATCATCAGAATTAATCACATCCAATCGTTGCTTGCTCAAGTCGTGCAGTGCACAGCACAAGGATTATGTGGCACACTCACCTGGACCATACTGCAAGGCTCCCTCAGACCAATTCAAGCATTGGAACATCATCTTTACAAGGTTCACATCTGTTCTATCACAGGGCTGGCAGAAGAATAGGCTACATCTATGCTAGGCCTCAGTCTGGAGATTGCGTAATGGAGTCATCAGCCATGTTTGCAGCGGGTAGACCTGGTCTCCCAGTAACCATCTTTGTAAGGTATCCAGTCCTTGCATTGAAGTAGGAATCTGAGTTCTCAAGGATACAAGTACTATGTCAGGTTGATACAGACTTTTAAGATGTGGTACCAATGATCACTGATGACTTGTACATTGATGGAATGAAATCTTTTCTATTGATGAATCTAACCACATGTGATATGGCACATTCAACGTAATGTGTTCAGTGTGTAATACTTTGCTATTTTGGCAAAGCCTACTGACTGGGTTGTGGCACTGATACCATCATGGGAAAATGAGGAAAGAAAGTCAGCATCTTATAAGTATACCAAGCTGTAGACCTGGATGAACACAGCAGGCCAGGCAGCATCCGAGGAGCAGGAAAGCTGACGTTTCGGGTCTGGACCCGAGTATGTTGTCCAATGCTTACAGTTTAAGATGAGAGGAAATTGGCTCCATGCTCTTGCGTAGTGTATAAAACCTTGCATTGTGTGTGGATTGTGGCCTGTAGGTGACATTTTTAAGGTCACCTGTCATTACTACTGCTTCACTGCATGATTATGATCAATTTGACCAGTGACACGGTAAAGCTTGCTTTGTGGTCAGAATGTGCGTTTCACATGCAGGATTCTATGGTTACAGGTGTCTTTAACAAGTACTGTGTAAGTGCTTGATGAAAGTAAATTCTCCTTGAAGGGCTTTACGTTGCTCACAAGTAGCGTCCTCAGACAATAAAGAAAAATACTTACTCTGCTCACTGTGTCTGTTGTGGCATTTCCATTATACATTTACATTTCAGATAAGGATGGAAAGCAACACAGTTCACGCTTTGCAGAGTGAGTTGCACACTCAGCCTGTCAATCTGGGTAACTCCCTGAACCATGCGTTCCCTGTTGACCTCAGCAGTTCTGAATTTCCAAACATTCCCACCCAACTCTTTAAGTCCTTATCTCCGAACATTAGCCTAGAGCCACAGACCTACTGATTTAGCCATGCCAATCATCACTGATGTACTGTCCCCAACCTCCTGCCTCCTTTCAAAGCCAAGGTGATGGTTACCAGTGATGGCACCCACACCCCCCACCCCCCGCAGTAACCCATGCCTTCTGTTGTCTCCCACCCTGATATATTGAGTTGCCCCCATTATTGTTTCCTACACATCCCAGCTTGCTGCCTTCAATCCCCACAATTGACTTCCCTGGTATCCCTACCATGGAAGTGGTCCATGTTAACTTCTTTGGTTTTCATTGGACAGACCCACACACTGACCATGGCCCACTCTGCTGGTCCGACCTTAGGGTATCACCGTCTGATGAGTGCCAGACCCCTCACTAATCCCTGTGCAGCTCCCCAACTGACTTATTGTTAATCTCCCAATTGGTTGCGCTGGACCTAGAGGACTGATTGTAGCCACTCCCCATACTGTATTCATATAGATTGCTCCAAGTGTCTGAGTGACCATTTACCAGCCCCTGGACCTAGATTAGATGCTGCCCTTGATAGATTCTAGTGTGACCCCTGACTAACTGATGACCATTCCCCTTGACTTGCCTGAGAATTAATCCCTTTAGACATTGAGATGTGCCATTTGATTAAAGCTTATTCAGTCTGTTTGCTGTGTAAGCTGCTGGCACATGGTTCAGGTGTGGCATTGATGTGGCACAGAGCAGTAAAACAACATGTCCACCCCATTGACTGATCACTGCTGACATCCCTGACAAGCAGCCTGGCTTTGTGTCTGCGTAAAGGCCAGGTAAAACTGAAGTACCGTGAGCATTTAAATTTTGAATGAGGCGGCAAATCACAGTAAAGCAAGTCAGAGATGCTATGAGCATCCAAGTAGGCACAGAGTGAGTGAGCTAAGCCCTAAGGTGTACCCTGTCAGTGCCTGTCCCTGCATTACAATAAAAACTTTTGGTACACTCAAGTGCAGCATTGAAGTGAATAACTTTTTTCTAAGTGAATTGTGCCTTGATGATGTGATGGGGCTGATGCGAATCTCTGTGGATGGAGGATGCAGGTTGTCACTATCCCTGGAGCGTGCTGTGAGGTGTTGTGGACTGCTGGCCAAGATGTAAGCAGCAATCTCGGACCTCCCAGTATCTGCCTAGATTTTTGATTAAAACAACCTGGAGGGCACTCTTGTGAAAGTTGATGCTGATTTCACTTTTGGTGCTGATGTAGATTCAACAGCAGTATGTATTTCACATGTGCCATTGGTATCAAGTTCTATTTCTAACATAGCAGGGAAGAGCCTTATCAAAATTAATGCCCCCCACCCTGCCCCAATCTAAGTTAGCAACTCTGTTGGGTTTTTGTTTTCTTCTTTCTTTGTGAAGGGTTTATAAAATGTTTCAGTGCTAATTTCTTACTTTCAAAGCTACTACCTTTTTATTTATGTTACCTATTTACATGGAATGTTTCAGAATGCACCATTTTGGGTTTGAAGATGACAGCATTACAGGAGATTTCTTCGCAGATTTACAAGCCAAAGTACAATTTTATATTCACTACGTGAAATACTTGCCAACATTGAACTGCCTTCTCGTAAAAGTTTTACATTGAGCTTGTTTAACTTTACCTTTTAAGGTAAACAGCTAGACTTTATTTCCATCTGTCAGTATACCTTTCTAAATACCATTGAGCAAGCAGGCCTTTTCTTTGTTCCCTCAACCCATAGAAAATGAGGTTTTCAAAAGTGAATTGGTTCATTATCCGAAAAGGGAAAAAAATAGAATGTCTACAGGGAGAGGGTAAGGTGTGGCAATAAATGAATTGCTCCTTCAGACGGGAAACATATACAAAGCAGGTTGAATACTTTGCCTCTGTGCTGCAACTATTTTATTATTCTTTTGAAATGTCACTAAATCTTCAGGCATGCACCCCACTGGACAAACTCTCCAAGGAGGTGTAATTTTTCTTGGCGTGTTTAAAAAAAACCTCACCTATAAATAAAACGGTGTGTGAGAACAAATAAAATTTTCCGACGGCCCTGCACTGGGGAAGCCAACATAGGAAGAGGCATGTGTACGTTTGCAGGTTAGGTCCTTCCCAACGAGCAAAAAAGCCACGTGAAAATGGTAAAGGGTTGGGAAACTTTGTTTCTCCAGCAAAAAAAAATAAATTTCACCACATTGTAATCCAATTCACATTCCATTGGGAAATAAGAGTATGGTCCCTGAAAATGACTTTTTTAAAAAGAGTTGCTGTAAGCCACAAATGAAAATACTCTAAAATGGTCTGTTTTCAGAATTGTAATAAATTGGTTCGAACCCAATTAACTGTAATATTGTTGCATCAACTTGATTTTTGTTTATCATTGTTTCCCTTCGACAGATCAAGATGTCTTAGAGGAGATATTGATTAACAGCTGCTTTTATCCAACTCAGCAAATCGTAAGTAAGCATTCTTCAAACTGAAACATTTTTTGTAAGACAAATGCCTCTTCTAACTTTGTAATATGGTTGGTTGTTTAAAATCCAAACAAAATTAGTAAAAATTAGTGCACCTTTGAAATAATTTTGCCACTCCTGATGGCTTGTTTGGTAACTGCACAATATAATTATACATCAAGTTGTACATAACGCAAAGATTGTGGAGCAATTTGCAACCTGTTAATGGTACACAGCTTCGTGGCTACATTAACCTGAATGGTTATGTGGCATGCATGTTAATCTGCACTGGAATATGTGTTTTTAGGCATCAGCTTTCAGTTTATGAGACAACAATGTGCAGAACTGGATGAACACAGCAGGCCAAGCAGCATCATAGGAGCAGAGAGCCTTTCTGCTCCTATG